GCTCCCCGCCCCGTGCCGCGAACTGCGGGCGGGATCCCTGCGGGGGGTGCGGAGCAGCCCTGCCCGGGCATCTCTGGGCAGACACCCTCGCAGGACCCCGCTCGCTGTCCGAAAGGGCTCGGGGGGGTTTATTCCTTCTGCAAGTTGCTTTTCGAACCTCTTCCTCGCCTCAGCGCTGTCCTACCCGCTTCACAGTCCAAGTTCGTGATGTTTTCCTTATTTCGGTGCACATCCTCCACGTTCAGAGGGCCTTTTAAGCTGCTGCTGAGTGGAAGGAAGCAGAGGCTAACCACAGCAACTGTGTTGTTTTTCTTCCTGGGTTTGCTGTTTTTAAATCTCTTGTGAAAAGCGGTGTGGAGGGTGCTGCCTTCAGACGGCGTCCGCAGCCCCACACGCGGACTCTTACCCGTTTCACTCGCTGAGTCTCTCCGGAGCCGGCTGCCTCCTGTTAGTGCGGCTCTGCGTTTCGAGTTAGGGGGCCGTTGGGAAGGAGGGAGGTTGTGCTGGTTGCCCGTTCTTGTTTATATCTTGTTTCTGCAGAAACACAAGGTAAGCGCAGCATAAGGTGGCACGTTAAAACGGGGCCCAACCAAATCCACGGCCCAGAGACTTGAGGCCCGATGGAGGGAGCTACTCTGGGTTCTAAACTTCATCGCGTTACCAGTGGTGAAAATCACTGATATTTGGATATGCTTATGGGTAACGTTAGTGTAAGTTAGAAAAAGTAAAATAAATCCTATGCAAAACACACAAGACATTCAAAACACCTCGAAACCTCTATTGATGAATAAATATTCTTGAAGGGTTTCTTCATGAAAGTCTTTAACGTGCCTGCGTGTTCTAGTTTCCCTCATGGTGAGGTTAAGGTTTCAGTTGCTGCAATGGAGAGAACTAACGGAGACTTTAAAAATACAATCTTACCTTCCTTTTTTTTCTTTTTGACTTGTCACTACATGTATTCTTTTACTAAATAGATTTTTTTTTTTTTAAATAATAATAATCTTCCTCTAAGGGTTACATCTCGGTTGTGAAACTGTGATGACGTTCTTAATGCCTTCCTTTCCTGTGCTGGCTGCAAATCAGCAACGAGCTGAACAGCTTTGCAACGGGAAGGTGGGTGGTTGGGTGAAGCTTTCGGTGCAAGTGCGCCAGTATCTCTGGAGTGGGACCCACTGCTCCTAACTGCCTTGATGATCACGTCTGGGGATTTAAACACAGTAGACTGATTGCATGTTGTGATGCTGGGTAAAGGGAAATGGTTAATCCCTTTTTTTAAGGAAAAGCGTATGGTATTCGGTTAGGTCTCATGGGGATTGTTTAGGGTAAATAATTGTCTCTTATTTTAAGGTTTACGTGGCTTGTCAGTCGATGCTTATTGTGCTTGTGGGAGCGGTGCCCGAGTATCACACAGACCAAGAAGGAATTCCAGCGAGCAGAGCTGAGCTTGCCAAGCATATCCGTTTTGCAGACAACTTCACATCTATAGTCACCGAGGCAAGTACTTCCGTCGCACCGAACCGTTTCTTCCCGTCTCGGGGTTTATGCCGCGACTGCAGGACGTGGCACTTGTAAAAGCTGAGCAGGGCTTAGTGTAGTGTTTAGTGCTGTTGAAACTATTGGAACCCACCCATCTAGCTTTTTATTATTAAATCTGAAAGTATATGATTAAATTATTAGTTTAGCTTTCCTAGTGTAAATCTAATATTTATTAGTTTAGGTTCAGCTTGATTTTGCTTTCAGTTTTCTGTTCCTTCAGCTGATTTAGAAAGTCATTACTAATGAAGAACGATCCCTCGACTACAGTGTATAATTCTGGAATTGGGGTTGGACTCCTGAAGTCTGTTTTCTCTCAAGAAAAGCTTCAATTTGTCATGTCTGCACAATATGCTGTGCACGTAACCTTTACCACGAGGTGCGTTGCTTTCTCACAGAAGATACGTCTTCACGATTAAAACTGGTGTGAAAATGGAAGTCATGCAGCACGTGCCTGGGTATTTTAATATGTGGTGAGAGTGGGGGATGGAACAGATCGAAGTTTGCGGAGTGGGACAGAAGCTTGACCCTTCAGCCTCGCGAGTTCCGTCAAGAGGCAGGTTTGCATTTTGCTAGTCCCTGGGCTGTGATCGCACAGGCAAGCGCGAGTGCCCGAAGCAGCACTGCCAGCGCCAGAGAAAAGACTGTGTGGGTGACTTGGCTTGAGGCGTGAACTGCCGGAGTTCTGCAGATGGAATTCTTGGAGCGAGTGCCAGTAAACTCGCATTACACAGGTTAGGACTTGGTGTAGCTGCTGCCAGGTTTTTGCTTCCTTCCCATTGTCCCAAATGTGACTGTGTAATGTTTCTTTTGGAAAAATGTAGTGAGTAGACATTAAGAAGGAATGATGCAATATTGGATCATATCCTCTGTCAGATTTTTTTGATTAGCCTGTTTTCCATGGTCGTCCTTCAGTCTCAGGCTCTCAGCAGGATGCGTGACACGGGGTAGCACTTAATTTTTAATCAGAAATCAGCAAATTTTAACTAATACTGGATTGATAAATGTAGACGTCGGTGTCCCTGTTTCCCAAATATGTAGTAATTCTCAAGACTGATCAAAACAAATTTATGCTCCCGTTCATTTCAGTAACTTTATTGTAAGATTATTTTTTTTAATCATAATGTTAATAGTCTCTTGATGGAAACTGTAGATGCTGGCCAACATTTCGCTGTATGCTAGCGGTCCAATAACTAAATCAAACTGCCACGTGGATTTAAAGAGCAGAGAGGATGTCTGTTTTGGTGATAACTAACTTGGCAACGTTTTTGTTGGCAAGCTACGGTTAATTCTGACAAATATTTAACAAGTTCCTTTTGTGCAAATCAAGTAGACAGACACATTCTTTTAAAAGTTACATTCAGCACAGATTGTTATAGCAGACTTATTAAAATAGGAGCATCTTCCAGTGACACACTAAGCAGCACAAGTAAGAGTTTACAAAAGCAGGCTTTTCTCTTCTTCTGTCCTGAGGGAGGAAGCTGCTTTTGTAAAGTTGATTTCCTTGATTTTGGTGATGGAGCTAAACTGTAAATATTTTCAGTTCTGTTCTGGTTTGTCTGGGGCACTGTTCTGCTCAGGAGCTCAGCAAAACTTCAGAGCAGCTCTTCAGTTCTGCTGTAAGAACTCATCGCTGTAATTAACACTGGCATAACTAAGACTTTGTAAATAATAGCTCAGGCTTGGTTCGTGGAAAACACAGTTGTTAAAATTGCTCCTTGGGCGAGCACCAACTCAGTCTCCTGCTGTACGTAACAAGTGATGGTGCTTACGAAGGACGAGTTCAGGAGTGTCTTACGTTTGGTGTGGAGATGGTCCTTCACCTTTGAGAAGCTGATCTTTACATCTGTTTCCCAGAGCATAAAAGTTGTTGGGTCTCTTGTATCAGCCTGAAACCCTCCACAGATGAGAACTGGGAGGTTGAGATTTGTATGCTGTGGATTGCTAGCACAGAGAAGGAGGACTTAGGCCAGCAGTGCTCTGTGCCTTGGAGAGCACATGCTGTGGTATTTTTGTACTTGAAGTTTCCTGGGGATTGGGACCCTGGAATATTTCACTGTTGAAGTCTCCTCAGAGAGTTAAGAGATGATAAGTTCCGGGGATACATTCCTGTGTGATCTACTGTAGGTGATCCTGCTCCGGCAGGGGGTTGGACTAGATCCCTAGAGGTCCCTTCCAACCCCTACCACTCCGAGAATCTTTATCCAGTGTAATAGGGTAGTGTTGGCTACCCAGTGGGTTATGGTAGAAACCAGCTGCAAATGCTGCTGCACAGGAGTTTTACCTTCCCAGCGAATCCAGAAGTCCCCCCAAACTGAAGCGCTGAGCACTGGGTGCGTTGGAGTGAAGAAGGTGCCTTGTGAACCTGTTAAATCTTGCCCTGCTCCTGCGGGCTGCTGGGTGGGCAGAGCACAGGTAACCAGTGGGTTACTGGGTGGATGGAGCCTCTGTACTTGCCGCTGTGTGAGTTCAGATGTAGTAAATGCATATGTTGCTTGAGATTGCTTGCTATAATTGAAAGTTTCAGTAAGTTCCTAATATTCTTTGGAGATCTGTATTAATTCAAGGCAGACACTTCAGGGTTGAGGTCTAGTATGCTGTGTTGGGTTTTGGTCATGGGTCTCTTCCCATAGGTACTTTTTTTTTTTTTTTTAAACCTTCTACTTCAGAGAAGTCGATGGGATTAGGATCTTCCTTCCTTTCCCCAAAGGACATACTGCACATGTCATTTTAAAAGGCAGCATGACACTTTATCCACTTTTTTGAAAGCAAATTTTCCAGTAAATATACAGGGAATTATTTGAAATACTCAAATAATAATTAGACATACCTTTGGCTAAAGCTTTTCATTGAATTAGTTAAATTCTTTTCCTGTAAAATCACCTCGGATTTTCTGATTGCCATTCGTTCGCAAGATGTCAGCGATACTTGTTATCTCAACGGCGCGTTTTCTACGAGCGTTGATTCACCTTGTTTGTAGTGGGGACCTGCACGAGCTGGCCGTGTGCCTTCTCCCATCAGGAAATAGTATAAACTTCGTTCCAATTTAAACCCTCTGTCAGTTTGTTTTCTTCTCTTCTGACAGTTTTTGATTACTCTGCCTCAGTTTAACTTTTGGATGAGGTAGGAAGTACATTTTATGATTACCCATCATTTAGTTCTAACTTCTGTTTGGTTATAAATGCCCGGGTGCAATAAGGTACTGACTGTCAATGAGTAGTCAATAAGTAGGTCTTTAGAGGTTTTAAAAAACAAGGAAATCCTTCCATAATCCCTTCCTGCTTCTCTTCAGCAATTCAGCGTGTTGTCCTTGGCTTCCTAGCAGCCACGGTAAAGAGAGTTAACTCTTTCCTGACTGAACCCAGCACTCACGTATGTAAGGAGGAAGGGCACCAGGGGTTACTTAGGGTTCAGGAAGCGTAGCTGCACAGTGGAACTGGTTACTGCAGTAGCAAATATGCTTTATTCTTGCTAATAGTAATTTTTATCACCTGTTCATTGAAATGGTTAAGTTTGAGTGTTGAAATGGCTAAGCTGTTAAGAATTCCGATTTTCCTTGTTTTAATAATTTAAGAGAAGTTGCCTTGTCAAAGCTCGGGAATTGGAGTGCAGCTAACTATCGAGTCGAAAGCTTATAATATATTATAATGACATTTCTTGGGGGAGAAATGTGAGAGGTGTGAGAGTCTGCTAGGAAAAAAGTACGACTACCGTTGGCTTACCTATCAAACTTGGAACAAAACTTCAGTTGGGTATAGAGCAAGAAGTGCAAAATGGCAAGAATATGGATGGATTTATAATATTTTGGAGGAATCTAGCAACTAGGTGTGAAAAGCATTAACGATAAGGAGATTCTTTTTTTGACAGTGGTACCTAATCGAACAAGAAGCCTACAAAGTGAGCCTTGCATCGTCCCTGTTTTTTGCTGGATTGCTTATTGGAAATATCACATTTGGCCCTTTGTCTGATAAACTGGGCAGGAAACCAGTGTTTATCTCAGGTAAGATTGTTAAAAGGTTTTTAAGGATTCTGCATGGGTAACAACATCTCCTTTCTTTCTGCCTGTGGGCCACGCTGCTGCGGCAGTGGTGTGGAGTCTGTCGGTCCAAGTGTTTCACTTGGAGTAGAGCAGCACTAGAATTTGTTGGTATGAGTGTGCTGGGCAGCGTAGTGGTCACTGGAACCACTGTGAAGAACAACCTGGTTTTGCTGTGACTGTCCCTGTTTGAGCAGAGGGTTCTGCACATTGCCTGACCATATTGCCTTCAGTAAAAATAATTTGCTTTTTGGGGAGGGAGAGAGTGGGTAGGGAGTATGATTTACCTAAACATCTTTAGTGGGAGTAACTCATGTCCTGGTGTTTCGTTTTCCAGCTGTGTTTGCAGCCAAAGGGTCTCTTTGTTTAATGTTAGCGTTGTCTCACGAAAACATCATCTTTGCCATTGCAGACCTCAAGTGTGTGTGACTTGATGATTGTAGTTTTCACATGGTGTCGCTTCAGAAAGCCAAATACGAGAGATTAGAGGCAAGAGTACTATAGACTCCTCGTTACAGTCAGTAACTAACTGTGCTCCCTGCCTTTCTTCTGAGGTCAAGCTGCACAGCATGAGTACTAATTACATTTTATTCTCTCTCTCTACAGGTCTGTTTTTTGATGTCGTTTTGGGGTATGTCACAGCATTAGCTCCAAATTATGACATATTTGCAGTTTCACGTTTTTTTGTTGGAATTGTGAATGGTGGAATGGCTCTTGTGGCTTTTGTCCTAACCCAAGAATATGTAGGAAAATCATTTTGGTCATTTACAGGTGGGATTTGGGAATATTTAATCATTATTTCTGTGCCACGTGTTGTTCTGACTATCAATACCTTGCATCTTAAACTCTTAGTTTGTACCAAGTAAAGTCGGATTGTAGCGTAAGTCAGATGTGTGTGAGGTGATTCATCCAAGTTCTAATTTCTGTGGGGAAAGGTGCCTGAATAAGGAAGACGGGATTGAGTCTGATAAACAGCAAAATGGGTAGGTTATTTCCTAAAATTTCCCAATTTGTACACTGCATTATATTAAAAAAAAACGCTAAAAGTTTTGGCAGATCCTGCCAACTTCTGCCCAATACTGTATGGGATCCTGGGAAGGTATTCTTGAAAACGTTCCTTCAAGTTTCCCTGCACCACAAAATGGCTTTGTGCCTTTATAGTGGTGTTTGCACTGCTGAATGCGCTGACCATCCAGTGTTTTTAAGCGTCCTTTTTCGCATGTCACTGTGGAGACTTAAATGTAACGCTGCAGGCCAGTCTGCTGTAAAGCTGGAGTAGCTCAGGCTGTAACGGCTCTTTGGCCAGAGCCGCATGGGGAGAGTCTTGGTCCAGGTGCTGACTTGATGTGGCTGTGAGCGTATTTCTTTCATTTCTTCAGTTACCTCATTCTACTGTTGTTCTCATTTCTTCTCTTTATGGGACAATTGTGGTTTAGTTACTGCTTTCCACTTACTGTTCTTTTTTAAAAATACCGAGTTTTCTTCTTCTCCCAGGTTCACTTTATTGACTCATGAGCTCTCTCTCCCACCTCCTCCTTCCCTCTTGCCTTCTTGTCTATCTCTGCTCTTCCCAGCCCTTCTCCCTGCAGGGCCAGTCTCCTGACAGACTGAAGAGACAGTCGTTCCCTGCCATTCTAGCTCTGCTCAGCCCCTGTGAAGGCAGCGCTGAGCAGCTGATGAGGGGCTGGAGGAGAGGGAGAAGCTCTCCTGGGTGTTGGCTGTCAGCTAGGCTTTGTGGGTGATAGCTGCGAGTTTCTGGGTCCGTACAAGATCTCGTGTTTTAGTCTGTAGAGGGTTTGTCGTCAGGATTTTGGAGTTCAAGTTGAGCCCATGTTTTTTATTTATACAGAAGTTTGCTGTGACATACCTCTGGCTTTATACTCAGCTGGTGGCTGGTTTTATACTCAACTCCATCCTTGTATTGTGATACTTTCCTTCCAGTGTCTGGTCCAGCCTGCCATAGCTATTCAAGGTTCCCTTAACAGACCTAAATAAACCACTCTGAACACTTAGAATCACAGAATGGTTTGGGTTGGAAGGGACCTTAAAGATCATCTAGTTCCAACCCCCCTGCCATGGGCAGGGACACCTTCCACTAGACCAGGTTGCTCAAAGCCACATCCAGCCTGGCCTTGAAGCCATCCAGGGATGGGGCATCCATAGCTTCTCTGGGCAACCTGTCCCAGTGCCTCCCCACCCTCTCTGTGAAGAATTTCTTCCTGATATCTAATCTAAACCTTCTTCTTCCTGTCCTCAGGTCTTCTCTTTAGTCTCCAAGTTCCTGTTCGCTTCTTGTTCTTTCCTATGTGCTATCCTTTATTTTTCCAAGGAGACCCTCCCCTGTGTGACACCAAGTTATTTTTCACTGGACTTGTGTAATATACTTCAGCCAGCTGGTTCATCAGTGCTGCCACAAAAGATTTTATTGCTGTTCTGTTTAGGTATATGACAGACAAGACATTTCAGGCTTCTGCTTAATAACTTTTTTCTTTTGCCACTGGTTTCTGTATTCACCTTTTTGGTCTTGTATTTTCAGGTTCGTTAACTAACTTGACATTTGCAGTTGGCATCGCTGCTTACGCCTTGCTGGGTTACTGTGTGCGAGAGTGGCGCTACCTTGCCTTGGTGTCGAATACGCCGGGAGTCGTCTTCCTCCTTCTGTCTTTGTAAGTGGTTCACGTGTGTGACAATGATAAGAAAGAATATACAGCGAAGTAGCAGTTAGTTTTTCTTGTCGTCATTCGAGAGAGAGGTATGAACAAGGATGAGATTTGTCTGTATGGTTTTGTGAGCCGAGCAAGAGAGAAATCGCATTGTGAAGGAGGAAGCGGTTTTAAATGAAGTGGAAGGTCAGGGTTACCCAGAAGACAAGCCTGTGTTTCTGCGTGCTGTTCCAGTTGTGATGGCCAGCGTTGCGAAGAGCTGCTGTGTGCCAGCTGTCCAGTAATACTTGATTAAAAATCTGCTTGGGGAAGGGAAGGGAAGGCCTGCCAGAGGCTGCGAGTGGGAGCATCAGCCAGGAACGCTGCCTTCTGCTGAGGCAGGGCTTCAGCGCTTGAGAAGCTTTGGAAGTGATCCTAGAGGGATTTTAGAGTTTCTCTTCATGAGACACGTGCATGCAAAGGGAAATAAGGGAGGGCAGTTGGAATCACCTTTTTAGCATGATATGCTCTGTATCTGCTTGCTTTTGAGGTCCCTCGTGTGTGTTCCTAGCACTATTGTACTTGGGTACTACTATTTAGAATTCCTACATGGACGTTATTGTGAAAATGAGTGAAATGCATGAGTTGCGAAGGATTTGAAAGTGCTAGCTTTGTCTAGCCTGTGGTGTTAAACCCTGTATACTTCTGATCACTAGTTAAAGCTGTAGAAGAAATAGCAGAACTAGTGTAGTTGGTTGTCTGAAGAGTAAGACAGGGAATGTCTGGCATACAGCATAGAAAAAAATCCTCTCCTGTTTGTGTCAATTTTTTTTTTATTTCAAACATTTTAGGTAGGTCAGCTTTTGAAATAAGTTCTGTTAAACGAAAACACAAAAAACGCCAACCCCTCTTCTTGTAGTCAAGGAAAACAAAGTCTCTGGGCTGAGGAAAGAGGTTCCCCATGATACATTTTCCTCTCTGGTGTTCTGTTTCTGATGGAAATAGGGTTGCTTTCCCCAAATACTAAAAATACTGTGACCCTCTGAGGTAATGAAAGGCTGTAGGACTTAAACCTCTTTGAAGAGTACCAGAGTAAATAAATATTCAGTTAAAAATATTCCACTCCTTATTTTATGTCTTGTATAAAAGCAGCAGACTCAGCCTGAAAAAAACAGGAATCATGAACTGTAGTTGTGGTAAACCAGGATATTCTGATTATACTTGAGAATAAGAGATTTAAAACTTCTGTGAGTAGTGATGAGCTGGTACTGGAGCCTGACAAGTAATTCCCGAGTAGGTTTCTTCCCTTTTCTTTCCACTCCAGTTCTGAGCCTTTCCTGTAATGGTAAATGGTAATGGCTTGAGGTAAACTTTGTGAAAACAAAGTTTTGTCTGGGCTGTTTGGATAATTGGGATTTGAGATGCTTCCTGGGTAGTGCTAGTGGAGTGTTTCCTGAGAAGTCAGTTCAGCAGAAGTCAAGGTTTAGATTTAAACTCCTCTCACGTGACTGAGTGCTTTGTCAAGCATCTCCCAAGGTCCTTCCGTAAGGTTAACGCTATTATTTATCAGAGTGCGTGGAATTTAATATGCAGAACAGTGAAATAGAATGGTTTTTTTCTGAATTTTGTGTTGGTACCTTTTTTAAGCGCTTTTGTGTTTTTTAAAGTTTGCAAAATGCAAAGGTTGACTTTAGTGCTTTGTTCGTAGGAATGAACTTGTCACGGCTGATTTTTCTGTTCTTTCCTGTTAGTATGCTCCCGGAATCACCACGGTGGCTGTATTCCCAAGGGAAGATGGCAGAAGCCGAAGATGTGTTGCAATATATTGCCCTTGGTAATGGAAAAGAGAGGTTAAATCTAAAACTAAAACCAAGCGCAGGAACTTTGAGGAAGGCCGATTCGGCACCTGGTATCCTCAACTTAGTAAAACACCCGGTCCTTCGGTGGCGAACCGTCGTGCTGATGTACATCTGGTATGTAATAACACGCTGCTGTGAATGAGTCAGACGGGAGGAAACAGTCAGGATTTTCATCCTTTTAACTAAATCCTAAATTTGTCGGTTAATGATGGCAGACAATAGTAATTTAAAATGATGTGTTGTAACGGTGATGTTTCATTCTTCTTGCTCTTGCATTTTATTTTCAGTGTGTTTCTTAGAAACTGCTTCAAAACCTACTAAGAAATAATGTGGTGAGAACATAATATTTACACAGAGTGAAATGAGAAGCTGAAGCAGAAGTTACTGAGGGGACGTGTGTTTGAGCCAGTCTTAGGGAGAAAGGGCTGCCTGAATTAGACAACAGTAGAAATCTGGAGTACGAGTAAGCGTAAGAGCCCCACGGCAGGTTCAGTGAAGAAAACTGTGGGCAAGATTAGGGTTACATTAGGTGCTGTCTTGAAAATTGATACAGCTTGTTAGAAAAAAAAAAAATCACCCTGAAGCGCTGGAGGATGTAATGTAATGTATTAGCAATAGATGGCAGTGCAGAGGGAACCCCTGGGGTGAGAGCCTGTTGGGTTGGTCATCAAGGCAGCGGCTGTTGCAGATTGGCTTGAGCTAAAATCTCTTGGAGGAACAGCTCTTTTCCAAAATGCCAAGAACAAGATTTCCCTTTTAAAGTTCAGCATCATTTGAGATGATGGTCAGGATGTAGATGGGAAAAAACCAGTAGTTTGATGTGTGGGATAAACAGAGATGTGCAGTACCTGGGCGCAGAGGCGCAAACATCTCCGCTAAGTAGGACCTTTCCAGAAGCATCTGGGGTTGCTGGTAGGTAAATGTAAGTAATCATGGCGATGAGAAATTACACAAAGGCGTTCTTACCTTCTGGAAGAAGCGGTGGCATCACTGTGTTTCTGTTTTGAACGCTGCAAAGATCATAGAATAGAATCATAGAATGGTTAGAGTTGGAAGGGACCTTATAGATCATCTAGTTCCAACCCCCCTGCCATGGGCAGGGACACCTTCCACTAGACCAGGTTGCTCAAAGCCACATCCAGCCTGGCCTTGAAGACATCCAGGGATGGGGCATCCACAGCTTCTCTGGGCAACCTGTTCCAGTGCCTCCCCACCCTCTCTGTGAAGAAGAAGATGCAGTGCGCAGAGCCGTTGGGAGTGGTGTCGCAGCAGATGTCACCCGGCTCCTTGCGCTGTTGCCGAGGAGCCTTTGGGCACCACCCTCAGCTGTAACGGGCTGAGGATGTACTTCTCCCTGTACCCAGCAAAACTTCCCCTTTTTAGTTCCCTTGGACAAGACTCTGCTTGGACAGCAAGGGAGCAGCGAGGGAATAGGCAAAATGTCTGTGATAACCGTGGTGTTTTGTGGGGTGGGAATGTGGGGGTTTAGTGTTTTCCAAGGAAAGTGATAATAGGTTTGTTTGGGGAAGCCTTCCCTAGGTTTGGGGAAAACACTTGGGTGTTGAGCGGTGGATCTGTGTACTGATTTCTCTCACAGGATTGCTTTGCAACCGTTAAGTATCATCTGCTTACAGTTGTTTGTTAAATTTGCTAAATAATGTAGGAAAAACCCCAAGGTAATAGAAAATTCTGAAAGTTACGCTCTGCATAGATAGGAACGCTTGTTTTCTTTCCTGAAGTTATTTTTAAATTAAACAGGAACTGTTCTCTTTGCCTTGTTTGCCTCTGGGGGGGAATAAAAGTTCTCTTTGTAGCATGTAACTCAATACAGCTAATCCATAACTCATAATTTACCTTTCAAATACTTTCTTAGCCCTAAAGTTACATTAGTAATTAGTAATTAGTACTGTAACATTACATTAGTAAGGTAACTTTTATGGTTATCTTTAGGTATGTCTGCAGCTTTGTGTACTATGGACTAACTTTAAATGCTGGTGAATTAAGAGGAAATCTGTATTTAAATGTGGCTCTTTCTGGTCTTGTTGAAGTTCCAGCATTTCCTCTCTGCATGTTTTTTATTGAGAAATCCTGGTAAGAAAAACTTATTTCCTATATTTCTGCTAATTTGTAGCTAGCCTAGAAAAATATTAACATTTCTTCTCAGTAAGGTACTTCACTTCTTCCGAAAGAGCTGATTCTTTGGGGATTTACTCTGCTGCACGGGTTTCTGCAGTTGATAGAGAAATAGGGCTCTGATTTTCTACCCCTTATCTTTTTATAGTTTTGTTCGTATTTTGAATTATTCAAGAGATGAGCTTATTAATGATTAATGCTATTAAAAAAAGTTTGGTCTTTATGGGGGGAAAAATGTGTGTAGCCTAGTTACTTAACTATAGCTTATGTATGTATTTCTTAAATATTTTATTCAGAATGACTGTACCAACTGCAGTTGAAAGCAGTTTTCAGCAGTGTTCATTCTTTCTTAAACTTTTTGGAAGAGAACTTGGGAGTGAGAGCCGTTCAGTTCTCATTAAGGCCTGAATGATCGATGGCCGTTGTTTTCAGAGTTCACAGTGCCTCTGGTGGCCTGCCTTTATGTGGGTGCTTACTGCTGAAGGCCGAACGCTCTGGCAACCCAGAGCTACTCGGGGTTCCACGTAACCATGAGTTACCCGTGAGTTTGAATATCTTTGTAAGGATCCTTTGGGCTCACTGAGTTCAGTGGCAAAAGTCCCGTTGTCTTCAGTCGGGTGAGGATGTCATCTTTGGGTTTTGGGGGCAGTAAACGAAGCTGTCTGCTCAGTCAGGCTGAAACAACCAAGGAACCTTCACCCCAAGCCCCCCAGAACCAGTCAAGGCACACATTTAAACCACAAACTGCACGAGTCCTCTTCTGCGTGTTGGGTGGTTGATTTTTTTCTCACTGTAATTTGAAATTTAAAATTGGTTTGACAAGCTTTTTGTTTCGTGAGGTAAAATACATGTAGTTTTAGGTGTTTAATGCAAACAGAATGTGACATGCCAGCTGCTCTGTTTTCATTCAGTTTTAGTGAGCAGAATCCCTCAAGTAGAGCTTTTTTCCTTGCAAAAAGATTGGGGAGATTTAAAAAACAAGGGTTGTATGTTTGTAATAGATGAACTAGTTCTGCTAGTAGGCGGTGGTAGTTAGATATAGCTGTGGGTGAAGCAATAAGCATGTGTAGCGTTCCTACGTGCCTGCAACCTGTGTTGCTGAGAATACCTGTATTTGTGGTCCTTTGGAGGTAATTATGAAATATTTAAGTATGGCAGATGTGGAGACAGGCTGGTGACTTTCTGTCCTGTCCTTTTATTTTAAAGCACTAAGCAGTAGAACAAACCTTCGCTTATTTCTGTGTGTACGCAGCACTAGAAAAGCATGCAAAATAGTTTCACTGTGTCATAACGGCATATATTTATGCCAGGTTGTGTAAAAGAGACCTACAGATGAAGAAGCATTGGGATTATGTTTTCTTGACCAATATTAATTTGATCTTCCTGTGTATGCACCATAACACCCTTTTGGTGACAGGGCCCATGGCCATGCTCAGTGAAGAGAAGAAAAAGGTCTGAGTTGTTGCTGAAGTAGATGGGTCCTTCTCAAGGCTACAAATTCAGTAGCTTAAAAATCAAAGGTTGGCTAGAAATAGGAATTTTTTAATGGGAGGACTTCAAGACACAGAACTAGGAAAATACTGCAAGATTTGAAGCATTACCAAGGCACAACAGATGTATTAACTGATAACAGTGCTGCTGTGTACTTCAGTTGGTATTTTGCAGACAAAATCAAAAACCACTGAAGGACTGATTGCTGTTTTATCTGGGTGCTCTCTTCCTTCTAGGTCTGGAAGACGTAAAACTATGACATGTTTTCTGATATTTGCAGGATTATCCTGTGTGTTTACCATGTTTTTACCAACAAGTGCTGGTAAGTACGTACTGCTGCTGAAGTAGATGCTCATTAATTCGGGTAAAAGCTGACAAAACAACCTGATGAGTATTTTGGGACTGAGTATATCAGGGCCTAAAGCCATATCCGCTTATACCCCTCTCTTGCTCTGTCTCATCCTCCTGGTGCTGGTCAGGGAGCCATGGTCTTCTCTATATTGCTTTAAACTTCTTGCTGGTAATTTGACCCTGTTAATTGACTAAGTTTGTCTCACTGCAAGCCCTTGGCTCTTCAAAGGTCAGACCAAGCTATTGTGTTCTGACTCGGATACTGACACTGCATTAATTTATCCCTTAAGCAGTTTCCCTTAAAAGGCTGGATTTAATAGCCAGGCTGCAGTGCAGTGTAAGGTTAGTTTGACTGGATCTTGACTGTGGGAGATGCCAAGCTTAATTTTGTTCTGGTGGCGTGTAATGTTTACAGAAATAGGAACTGCAATTTTCCTGAATTAGAAACTTAATTAATAAAATGATTTTTAAAAAGGTAGTTTGCACTTGAAAATTAGAAGTGGAAGTCAGAATTGCAGTGTGGAAGCCGTAGGGATGGGAAGAAGCTTGCTGCCTTTCTCAGTCTCATGCTGGGTATCGCTGCACTACTATGCAGTTGTGAGGACAGTTCACGGGAACAGTGGAGTATCAAGTGTATTTTGCATCTCAAAATACGTGTTTTTGCTAACATTGTCAGTGACAATCACATATGTTTGGGTTTATGTTTTCACTTTCTATGTCAAGTACAGTTTTTCTGTACTAATATTTAACTGCTGATAACGTAGGTCTGCCTGACACTAACAAATAGACGTGGCTGCTCTCTGCTTGTAGTTTTCTTAATATTGCTTCAGTAGAAATGTTTTAGCTTTAACAGTGTTTTGACCCAGGAGCACCAGCGATGTGATTACAAGGTAGCTTTCTCTAGGTTGTGTTTATCCTTAACACTTATAAATGCTGTCTGGCATCCATTTCAAATCGATCTTGGAAAAGTCTCAGGAAGAAAGAGAGAGGAGGATATCCCCTAATCCCATTTGCTTCGCTTGTGTTAATTCAAGTCCTGACATTTTGTTGCTCCTTTTATTGAGACTGTTTCTTCCTTCGTTCCAGTAAGTCTGCTCTTTCTGCTTCTTTTTGTATTTTTTAAAACAAATGAAAGAAAAGCAGTAGTCACTAATCAGGATAGGGTAATTCCTCAAGAGTTGCTAAATTTCAGAACATCTGCCTTTTCCAGTTGAGTTGACTTGAATCCCATTAAAACATCTTACTTTCCACTGTGGTAAGAGTGAAGCTTGCTCTTGTCCCAGAGTGATCCATGTCAGTTAAGGAGAAGGAAATTCAGCTTCAAGCATAATGAAGATGAGTCGCTTTGCTGGGTGAAATGAGGGTTGTTGCATCTCCTAATTTGACTGCCCTGTTACTAAGGAGGACACGTCTTATGTTTGCCTAAGTCTGCATTCTTCGGAGTGATTGACAAGAGCCTTGATTTTATTACAAGGGATTTAGGACTTTATTGAGACATTGGGCACTTGCCTCGCGTGTCTGTAACCTTCACTCAGTTTCTAAGGAACTCTGTTAACTTGTGAATGAGAATCTGATCCAAGTCAGCTCCCCTGGGGGGTATGCCAAGAAATTATTAAAGATGTGTACTGAATTTGAGACAAAAAAATATCTCAGTGTTTAAGTAAAAACTGATAGATCCCTCAGCTCCTCCTTTCCTTATCACTTAGAACTCATCAATTAAATTGTGTGAGTGTTAGATTGGAAGGTGGTGAGGGGGAATGGAGCAGCAGTACTCGTTGTTCTCTCAGGCTGCTGTAAAGCACAAAGATGATGTCTGCATTTTGTATCTGTTCTGTACTACAGCAAGCAAACGAGTCTTCTAGTCTAGGGGTGACTGGATTTTAACTTTTGTTTAGATTTATCTGCTTGTGCTGAACACACAGTAACTTTTTGTCATTGTATTTTCCTCGGAGTCCTGGAACACATTTTGAGCAATTCTTGCAGAACTCAAGGCAGCTGATGTGCAGTGCAATTTCCAGTGTGCTTCTAGTCCCACAGTAATTCCCCCCAAGGCCAGCCTTCAGCCTCCCCTGAGGAAACCTGGAGGAGACAGTGCTCTTTAAATTCACTCCGGAGCTCGTGAGTGCTAATTCCTCTGTCTAGACAGAGTTTCTTACGCTTTGATAGTACGACCAAAACTTCCCAAGTGTGCTGACACTCAGTTTCTAGTGCATGGGTATGCACTGCTCAGTTTTAGTCTCCCTGAGAGAAAAGGAGCAAGTTGTAAAACATGTTGGAGAATTACAAATCTCTTCTTCATTGCTTCACGCTTGGTTGATGGAAGAGAAGGGATATCCCAGCTTTCTGATGGCACCCAGCAGGGCTCTGAGGACCAGGTTCACACCTTGGCACCTGGCAAGTGATACTCCAGTTCTTACTGAGCAAAAGGACCACTTGGATGAAAATGTTGTGTCTGTTCGCAGGAAATACAGAATTAGCTGCAAAAGTTCATCATGCTTAAAGAAATTAAATCAAGTTTCTGGATTCCAGTTTACATACAAACGAAGTTCTGCTTCAGCTGAAATAGAACCAGACTTCATCAGACGAATAGAACCGAAAATATTGGAGGGCAGAATGAAAAGAAAAGCAATTGAGAAGCAATCAGACTTTCCTTTTACTTAATCAACATCATTTGATCCAAAGTGAACGTGCTGAACTGAGTGCTGAGGAAGAACACCTGAAATACAGCTCATTTCTTTCTTACAAAGCATTCTTTCTTACAAAAAAACCCCAAAATTATTTTTTTGATTAAAATGGATGGTGCAAACATAATCATATGCAAAATCAGGATAACGAAACCTAGGTTTCCTTTGGGCTTTAGGTGAACCACACTTCAGTTCAGACTGACTCTTCGTCGGCTGGGCTGCATTAGTGTTTGTTCTTTCCAATTACAGAGCTGCTGCATTTTGAGTCCCAACAGGATGTTCTTGGGGAACAAGTAAGCTGTGGAGGTGAATCAGGTTTTGTGATTTTAATTTAATAAATTAGTCAAGGAGGTTGTATCGTCTCGTGCTCATCAGCAGATGTAGTTACCTGCGTAAGGTATTCTGACTGCAGAGCTGGAAGCATTATCCCTGCCTTCTAGAGCTGTGATAGTTTTACACTTGCCCCCCAAAATGGGCAGAATTTTCTTGATCCTGAATACAGTTTTATGTATCTACTCTTACTCTAGCTCTTAGGATTGTTGGGAAGACTTGAGAGAATTTCTTTTGTGCTTGTAGTGGATAAACAAACATCTAGATGAAACGTTTTTTGCGTGATAGTCTCTTTAAAGAGGACTGTGTAAACACTGTGTCAAAAGAGTAAGAAAACAGAGACTTTTTATGCTTACAGCTTGCTCTCTCTTTTCTGCAAGGTCTGCTCTTCAGTCCCACTTTGTTAGCTTTGTGTGGAAAAATGATGGTCAGCGCCGCGTTCAACATCGTGTATATTTATACATCTGAGCTATACCCGACAGTACTGAGGTAATTCAACAGAGCTTCTGGGTAAATGGAAATACACTACCAACTGCTGGTGTGCTTGAGTATTTGTAATTATTTTTACCTGAAATACCAATACGAGTTCCTCCTGTAAATAAGGCAGTTTGCCAGGGTTTAAAAGGCCTTCTCCTGTTAGTCACATTTTGCCCCAGTGTGCTTCTCTGGGCTGTTTGTGGCAACTACCACTACGCCTGGATTCAGAATAGAAATACGAAAACTGGTTTCTTAGGCTGCAGTGCTAGGTGCCGTATTTCTCATTTCTTCTATTGATTTTGGAAGTAAAATTACAGGCTGAAAAGCCAAACATAATAACGTGATGGAAGTGTGTGCTAACTTAATTATAGACTGTGCTGTAAGGGCTCTTTGCAGTCCTTCTGTATACTTATATCTCCCATAAGATTATGTTTGCCTCATGAAAAACAAGTGCTCTTCTTTATCTTTGTTACTTAATTAAATATTCATAATGCAACTAATTTTAATAGTTTCTGTAGGACAGTAATTTGCTGTACACCATTTAATTCACGAACAAGTGGGCTGAAACCTTAGTTTATTTTTCAGGGTTCTCAGCGATGCTTTGTGAGGTCACTCTCTCTCCTGTTGTCCCAAGAGAAACCCGAGATAGGAAACTACAATAGCACACAGTCCTCTTCTCCCCTCCCCCCATCCTGGTTCCGTGTGGACTTCCGAGTGGTACTTGGGAGTACGTGTTCAGAATTGGAGCCATATTGCACTAGTGGCTCCAGAACAGCAGCTACAGAACTGCTGCAAAAATTGAGGCCCCTTTGGAGAGAGCAGGAGAGTTGAAAGCTGATGTGGAATAGGATGGCATCCTGGTGGGTAGCTGTGTCCTGTCGCACTGTGGAGCTAATTGGGATGGATGACCTCGTTCCAGGACACTGAGGGCTTTGGGGGGGGGGGGGGGGAGGGGGGGGGGGGCAGTCAATGTGCGTGACTCCTTTATTTTGAGGTTCACATTTTCCCAGATGTTATGGAGGCATAAAAGCTAGACTGCGAATGCAGTTTTAGCAGTGAAACTTGTGAGGGTGGAGGCGGGTTGGCTGTTTCTAGACACTCTGCTTGTGATTCTCGGCAAAGATTTAGGTTTAACACGCGAGCCCCGAGCACGCCAGCTGCAGTTGGATGTGGGGCTTTGTTTACATTCTCCCTACCCAAACTTCTGTGTTCTTCAAGGTCTCTTTTTCTATTGGGTGGTGTTTGTTTTTTGTTTTCCTGTCCCCTCTGCACTTCTAGAGATGAGAATCAGGAGAACGAAATCTGAAAATACTCTCATTTCTCAGCTTTTCCCTGTTTCACTGTGATCTCATGTTTCATGTCACCCTGCCTTCTGCAGTCCCACTGATGTTTGGTGCCAAGACATCTCACACCTAGCAGGAATTACAGCAGTGTCTCAGCATGTTTGAAACTGCTTGTGATTAGGAAGATTAACTATAATATTAACCAAAACGATATAAATCAAGTGCTACTTCATTTGAGAATCTGCACTAATATTCTGCCACCAAAGAAACTCTGTGTGTCAAAGATACAGACTGCCAGTGGAGAAAATGTAAGAGTAAAGGCATTTTAAAAAATCAGCAACTTTATTAGACAGCTGGTGATTAATAATATGGCAAACTATTGCGTTAAACCATATGAAAATTCCTCATGTGACAATTTATGCATTTAATTTGTGGGATATCTCTGGCAATTTAATTGCAAATATGATGGTTTCTGCAAGACAGGCAGTGATGGGCAAGTGTTTAATTTAAAGCAAAGCACCAGCACCATCTGGTGTTCTTTGCGGAGCTTTGCAGGGATCCTGGCACTGCTCTGACAGCAGAGTTTAGGCATGCCAGCTGAGACTGGTACCCTTCGGGGCAGGGCAGAGGAGCTGGAATAAACGTTTTCCTGTTTTTTTTCCAATGGGATGTTTTGGAGAAAGATTAAATGTCTTCAATATTACTGCTCCTTATTCAAACCTACTTATTACCTAAAGCGCACTGTTAGGCATTATTTTTTAAGTTAATTGGTACTTGGAGGAACGACAGATACCCCTTACGCTAGAAATGGGGTGGTGCTGCAAGCTGAAGTGTGTACGTCTTTGAGCTTCTTTTCTTCTTGATGTGCCTTTAAAATACCTGCTGGAGAACAAAAATGTTAAATAGAAAACATCGTTACTGTTGCGTTTTGGACTAAAAAGAGGTTGTCTTTTGGAAACAAAGTGTAATCACAGCTGTGGTAATATAGATGTAAAAACAAACTTGTGACTTTTTTTCTTCTCATGAGAAAGTGGTTGGAAAAGGACGTCACCCTTGTATGGGACGGGTGGAACCAGAATGTGGCCATTGGACTGTCTAGGATAGCACTGGAAAGCTTACTGGCTTATTCTCACCTTGAAGAAATGTTTGTTTTCCCTTATTTCAGTGGTGGTACTTCTGTAAAATGCTAGCTCGTTTGATCTCCGACTTTCTTTGCAAGGAACTCTCCATAATCCTTTCTGCTCAACAGTCCATGGTGAGCACTAGTGAAGTTTGAGAGCTGCCAGTGCCAGCAGCAGAGAAGCTTTTCCACTTGTCCAAGGCTGCACCCCCCTCCCCGGGCAGTGCTGGGCAAGCAGAGCAGCTAGAGGAGCACTACGCAGCGCGTCGCTTGCCCGGCAGCTGCAGTGGGACTGCTTGGCTCCAGCAAAGCCGCAGGCTGACGTGATGCCCCTGGCCGTAGGTATTTTGGCTGGCATTGGCTCAGCACCGAGCTCTGTGGGATGGTAGGAGCGAGGGCAGGCAGCTGGGTTTAGTGGGCCTTCTGGAAGGCGTGGTGAACCTGGGGCAGTAAGGTAGGACAGGCGGCGGATGGCTGCTCCTGCAGTGGAGCGCCTGGAGAATGCTTACCAATAGTTCCTGGGCAGTAATGCGTTTTTCCTCTTGGGTCCTTGTTCTGCATAACCCATATTTCTGAATTCCAAATTAAAGATCTGAAGTCTTTTAACAACTGCTTTGGAATGGAAATGACACCATTTGCAGTTAGGATCACTTTCTGCCCCCAAGAGGACCTGATGAGGGAATAGGTTGCTTTGTCCGTTTATGTTTGCACCAAAGCCACTGGCTTTCCATCACCTCTTTCCATCATCGGTTTCCCTTAACCTGTGCAAAGGGCCATTAGGAAAGGAGGTGGGGGTGGGTGGTATTGGTATACCAGTGACCTGTGTCACCTAGTGACCCGTGTCACCTCTGCTTGTCGTCTTTAATCCTCTCACTGCTGCTTTCTGTGCTCAGAGGAGGGAAGGGAGGTGGGGTGAGCAGGAGCAGCTCTGCTCAGTGGCATGACTGAGGATGATGATGAACGGGAGGAAGCAACCGAGAGGCGTGGGGAGGAGAACAGCCGCCTTGAGCTCGTTCTTGCCATCTCACTGATGACTGGTGCCAGTGTCAGTCTCTAGAAGGGCTGTGAAATACCGTATTCGGGAGTGACGCAGAGATGGAAGATTTTGGCATTTGATCAGGAAATGAAAGACTTGGGGGATTTTTGTAACTTCCTTTGAAGAGGATCCTGCTGTTTAAACCTGTTTGATTATGGCAGTCCGGATGAGATTGCTTTAAATTTGTCTGAGAATTAAAGGGAGTGCAGATGTGTCACAGCAGCCCCTCTAGTGACACATCTGGCCAGATGTTTTCAAGCTTCCCACTGGCAAAGAGTTCTTTTCTGCTTGGAGGTAAGCACTGACTTTTCATCTGTGCAGCCTGAGCGGGCAAAAGAGGATGCTGCTGAGGGCCTGAGCTGCTGGAGACAACATTGGGTTCTTCTGACTGAAGACCCTGGCAGATTTGGAAGTGATTCCCCATCCAGCACAAGCCCCTGTCCAATTAAACTGCCCCACGGGGCAGGCTGGAAAAACCTCTTACTTTGTTCAAACTTTTGTGAAGGGTTACACAACAGGGTGCTTTTGTTAGGGTGTGAAAGGGTGTGACTTAACTCTCTAGCAGGTACTTGTAGAAAATCTTGAAGTAACTGCTGGAGGCCGGTAAAATTTTTTTTTGTTTGTTTGTTTCAATAGATTATTGATAACTATTTAAAAAAAGTATAAGTTGGTTTTGACAGTGCCATGATTTAGTCTTGTATTATGAAACTACAAATCTTTCGTCCTTTGTTTGAAACAGGAATGCTGGCTTGGGTGTCTGTTCCATGTCTTGCAGATTTGGGGGCATTTTGGCTCCGTTTGTGCCATCTATGGTAAGATTATTTTCTACTTTTCACATAATTCAGATTTATTAAATGCTCCCAAAAGCACTTTGCAGAGTCTGGTACTACACATGTGTCTGTTTCTTGAAAAACAATTGGCTTTATAAGAAAGTAAAGTTCATTCAGTTTCAAGAATTAATGAACAAGATGTTCAAAAACACTTAGTATTTTATCCTTTTTGGAATAACGTTCTGTGTTGTGTTAATACTTCATCTGTTAGAGAAATGATTGTCACATGCATTTGGTACTGCTAAGGCTCACCCAGTTTGAGTTCTTTCAGGCACACAAAGCTTTCCTGTGAGTGTGAGAAGTGACGTTTATTGGGTTTCTCTGTTCTACCAGTACATGGATAACTGCAGAGATTGCTGGAGTGAAAAGTTGCGGTCATTTGGTTTTGACTGCGGTTCAGATGGGTGAAGGATTTTAAGATTGGGAAAAAGTGTTTGGTTTTTACTGTGGATTTGATATTTTAGAAATCTCTTAGTCCTTCGGTACCGTTGGTGGTGTTTGGAATCAGTGGACTGTCAGCGGGATTCCTGACTCTCCTTCTGCCAGAAACACTAAATAAGCCAATTGCTGAGACCATTGAAGATCTCCAGAGTCCCAGATACCAAGTGCTTAAAAATGAAGAGGCAGAGTAATTATTTTTTTTTTTTTTACTATACCTTTGCATTATTGTCCATCTGTCTTATGATTTAGGGCATGTTGTTTAGATTGGGCATGAATGAATGTGTGCATGGAGCTTTTAAAGCTGCCTTTCTCCCACATTCACTGGAGATGAAATTTATTCTTTGGCTGTCAAAGAGGAAAAGGCTAGCAGCTTTCACCGATATGTAAATGAATACTGTTTTGTTTCCTGAAAGGAAAACTAATGGTAGAAAGACAGTCTAAAATAATCAGGGACTATACCTTAAGCAACATTCCTGTTGGTTTACAGTAAGCCAACAGGAAATATTTTTCATACGTTGGATTGTGCCTTTTTTGTCAGTTTTATAGCGCAATATAATCTCAAATTAATATATATCTGTGGAGGTGTTTTATCTATCCTTCACTTGTCTCCTGGGTTAGAGCCATTGAAGGTGTTTTCCTCTTGCTGATATGCTTTAAACAAAACTTTTGAAGTGGGAAATGAAAGTTTTGGTTAACAGGTAATAGGATAGAAAATGTGAGGTATATCCCCGAAGTTTGTGAAGGGCTTTCCAGAACAATTAGTTTGAAAAGAAGGGGGGGAGTGGAAATTCCTGTAAGAAAGGAACTGTTATCTTAGAACTAAGCAGGCTTAGTATAGATAGAAAAGAATATGTGTTTTTGTTATTTTTTTTTCTTGATATTCTAGCTTGTTAGGTGTCTGGTCCTTATTGTACTTAATCAGTTGAATCATACTACACACACTACTATGCCTTCTATTTATACCTGATACATAGTAATACTGCATTCAGTTGAAATGAAAAAAAAACCAAAATAATTAAGCTTTTCAAATACAATTTCACTTCTGATTTTTAAAACAAATCAATGAATTCTGGTTTTCACATTTAATATTAGCTTATAAACTAGGACAAGAAAAATAAGACTTTTAAACTGTATTTCAGTAATTATTTTTCTTCTGTCTGACAGGCAAACCAGTTAGAAGAAACCAGTTACGTTTCAGAAGGTCTGTCTGGGGTGGAAAATGAAGCCTCCATTGAGAAGGTGCTGTAACAGTTGAAGGGCAGAGTTTTTCTCTGTCTGTCTGACCGGAGGCGTTGGAGGAGTCACGTATAACGCTGTCCGTAGCGTGTTGAACAGTTTTATTTGGAGGCGATTTGAGAATATGGAAGAAGTTGATCAAAGCTTGTGAGGGAAGAGGTGACAAATCTGTGCGTTAATTTAATGACGTGACAGAAGCATACGTTGGATGTTTGGACTTGTCTAGGGCTTCTTAAAATGAAGTATTAATTTACTTTACAAAACGTAATTGCTAGCTTCGGATTAAGCTGTAATGCAATTGAAGTGATATGTATAATTTGAAATTTAGATGGCCTTGTATATTCAGCCAAGCTGTAATCCTGAGAAGTAACAGCATCCTGTGTATGCCAATTTTCTCTACAGGGTGTTTTGCCTCTCTTATTATGGTGTACCTCGCAGTGTGAAGAGACCAAAGATTTTTATGGGTTGTTGGCCTTAGTATGTCTAGAAACCTGAACAGGAGATCTGAAAGGAGAATGAATGGATTTTATTGTGGGAGTAAATAATTTTTTAATAAAAGAGGTACATAAAAGGATATGTGAAGCTAAATATAATGCTATGTTGGAAAAATGTCAGGCCTTTAAGAGGTGCATTTAAAGGAGATGATGAGTAACCTTTTGGGCAAAGGTTATTAAGTTCTAGCTGTACATACGGAACTAAAAATTATTGAACATCAGGTATATATTGTATAATTTATGTAATAATATGTAGCCAATATACTTCACATATGAATTGGAAATTCTTCCTGTGAGGGAGGAGTGTGTGTGTTTGGCTAACAGTTAATATATTTATGTTGGAATAGATGCATTACATATGTTACCTTTTTTGATGACCAGCACAATTTTGTTATTAAAAGGAGAACTGTTTAACATCTGTATTTGGAGTGCTGCTTTTTTCAGGATGCTTACCCAGGCTTTTTGAAGAGTACTTGTATCCTTTTGAATTTGGCCCTTTGTCTAATGCATCTGATAGGAAAAGGTTACTACAAGGCCTCTGTATTTTCACCAGGTTCCACTGTTAAGTGAGAGCTCTGCAAATGAGCACGCGCTCGTGCAGGCGTGCATGCGCTCACACGCACGTGCACACATCAGTGCACGCAGGTTGCTGTGCCTGGATGCCTCACCGCAGTCTGTGCTGCGCGTAGGTGTCTGAGGCCACGCGTGCTTTACAGGTAGCCTGGTCAGGTCCCCAGGAGGTGAAAATCAATTGGCAGTTAGAACAATATTTAGGTAATGTTGGCATAAAGGGGGATTGCTTGTGCCTTTACTTAACCTCTGGGGCTGAAGCTTGATGGCAAACAGCCTATAAAATACGCTGCAAACTTTTATCTTCCAATCATTTATTTATTCATCATTTTTGTAATGTTTCACTTTTGTGAGGATTAGAATTGAGTATGTTCTTTTTTTTTTTTCTGAATAATAGTAATGCCTTCCATTGCATTAACATTTATAACCAAAGTGGCTGATTATACCTCTTCATAGGATAATTGAGTCAGCAGGGATATGGTAAAGACCAAGTTTTGTTACTGTTGACTTCTTTTTTTTTTTTTTTTTTTTGGTTACAAGAAATAAAATTTAATAAGAGATAGAACAATATAAAGTTGTATTCCTAAAGCAGAGATAAGGATAAGACTCTGGAACAGGAGGGTCGTAAAGGTGCCATTATGTGGTGGGAGTCTGTTTTTCCCTCCTGCCATATGCATCAGGCTGTATCAGTGCTTTTCCTTCTGACTTTTATTCCACATTATGTGGAAAAGAGGAAATAAAGATCGTTTACCTTTTGACCATGTTTATTTCTGCTTTATTTGACCTGGAATTAATGAATTCTTTGCCTGGGGTGACTTTTGTGAATTTGGTGGGTTGATGACCAGAAAGCTTTGTGGCCTGAAAAGAAGTTAATGATCTTTGCAGCAGCCCTGGCATGGCTCATGGTACCTGCAGCACTTTTTAGGTGCGTAGGCCAACGTGGAAGCTGCTGCAGTACTTTGTCTCCAAGATCCAAAGGAGAACATGGACAGAAACATTGACTTCCATTTTTGCTTCTCATTATTTTAATTCAATTTAACACCTTGTTTGACTTTTTATTTCATATATCCCTGCTGCATTTTGCTGTTGCTGGATAGAAAGAAGCTGTTTGGAAGAATGAAGTGCTTTTCCAGTTACGTGTTTAGAAATAAGGACATTATTTGCACCTTTATTAGGAATATTTTCAGTTGGACTAACATAATCGGTGCATTACCTCTTACAAGGTCCGAAAGTTAAGAAATCAACTGTGTTATTCACTGCTGTGTATGTCATGGCAAATCAGGAAAGGCAGCATTTTTGGTCAAATAACTGCTCTTTTTTGAGTAGGTGTCTTCCCTTAAAGCTTTTTACTTTGTAGAATTAGAAATTCTTCACTTAGAGTAACTCTTTTTCCCATTATTTTTAATGAAGACGAAGCAGTTTTGGGGAGGAACGCCCTAATAAATTCTTTACTCTGTGGGACTACTATCTATTGCTTTCCATTTCTCTGTACAAAGAATAAAGGGACATGAGTTAAAATAAGTGGCTTAATTACACACATTAGGTCACAATCCCCATCCTTAAGTATCACTTCTAGCTCTTCCCCTGTGCTTTATTTGTGTGTCGGAATTTGATTATAATGTTGCATCTGCAGTGTGCATCTGTTTCTGTGTCTTTAGTGCTTCAGCACTTAGTTGTGAGATTATTTTTTTTAAACTGATTTGAAGTCTTTTTACATCAGCATATGAGAAAATTCTGCTGCTTTCTGGACGCTATCATGTTTCAGCTGCAGATCTCAAAGCTTTTAGAAAAATAAGAAATGAAGTAAGACTTGGCCTCTTTGCACTGTCCTTACATACATCTGTGCTACCGGCAGGTTGTCCAGGAAGGAAGCCGGAACTGGTTTGTTTTTCATTCGGTTCTGTGTTTCACCTTTAACCTTACTCTATTTTCCCCTGAAGAGTGCTGAGCAGAGGCGAAGCTCGAACATTCGTTGATGCCACCTACGTTTTAATGCCATGTCCCAGTCATTAGGCAGTATTTATCCTTTAATTCTTGGTTAGGTTTGCTTAACCCCCGGTTTTCTCCTTGTCAGAGGAAGAATCTAAACTGAAAAAACACTTTCCCATTGCTCCTCCGGTTCATGCCTTCTTTTGTATTTTGGTTTGTGTTTCGCTGTTGCACAGCCCCTCCGGGTCACCAGCTCGGCACGGTGAAGCAACGGGGGTTTGTCTGCATCTGCTTTTCCCTGGCCGGTAAATATCCTCTGCTTTACTTTGTCACCAGCCGGTGATGACACCCCCCAGTATGTTAGAAATCGGGTCAGGTATAAAGGCAGGGCTTGAGTTCCTTTTTCCGGAAGGTAAACTTTGCCCAATATTCATGTCAAGCTCATCTTGGTGATCTTTGCCATTATCCCATTTGACGTTTCATCAAGGCGCTTTCCTCCTTTGTTGGAGTGCTGTGTGTTATTGCTTGGAGCGAGGGCTAGGGATTCGGTTTTAGAATTTATCCTTTTTAATCTGGGCAGAGTGAAGTACAAATAATCCTTTGCTTTGTTGACTAATACACTTGCAGCTAAGCAGCAGAGAAACGAGGAGGTGAACTTTTCACACTACCATCTGTAACCAGCTGGTTCTGCCATTCAATTTTTAGTTTGCTTGAGGCAAATAACTGTGTCGTTTATTACAGCATGCAAGAGATATAATTTTTTCCATGCAGTGAGATACCAGCAGTTCATTGGAAAGGTCATCTTTCTTTGTATCACTTGCTACAGGAGATATAAAATTTCTTGGAGATGATTTTTGATGGATGCAATCCTTCCATTAGAGTTAAATTGGTGAAAACAGTGGACAGGTGTACAGCTCTGGACAAATTATATGTAAATCTGGGATGGTCTTTTCTTGTAGCAGCAGAATTTCTTTTTACCAAGACTTCCAAATCTGTGAAGAAACGTGTGGGCTGTAACCTGCCGTGGGAGTACTGTCTGTGCCCACCTGAGGAGGGTGGTGGACCGCTGTAGCTGGAGATGTTTGCGTGGGAAAGGGAATGAGAATGTGTCTGGAAAGTAGAAGAGGAGGTTTGGGAATCAAACTACCCTTCCAACTCCCGCACGCTTGTGGTGCGATCCTGTTTATGCCAGGCTCCTTTGAACTCAGTATTAAATAGTTACAATACTTTCTGTACTGGATGAATTCCTATTCCTCTGGGTAGTCTCCTGGTTTAGGAAACAAGCTGGTATTGGGATGAATAAACCAGAAAACAAGCATGTTGTAGCAATTTTGATACCTTAGGAAGGCACAGTAAAGCTTTGGACTGGTTTCACAGTGTGAATTCTGACAGTGGTCCAAAGAGATTTGAAGCTGTGCAGGTGTTTGGGTTTTCTTGGCTTTTTACTTAAGATAGGGAGGTGTGAAACAACGTTTATGTGACCTGTAATAGCAACCTAGTCATGCTAATGACGGGTAGGGCTGAACAGACTGGCTGACTTTTTTAACTTCAGTCACTTGGGCTGAAAACTTCTACACTGGGCTTTTGTCTGGCAGGTAGCAGTACTGCCAGCATTCAGCTGGCTGTATTGACGTGTCCTTCTCAGGAAAGGCTCCAGGAAAAAATGGTGATTACATGTGTATAACTCTCTATCAAAGAAATTCTGTATGTGCAACACCTCATTTCTTGTTTGTCACAGCACTTTCTACCTTCCCTTGCACTGTTTTTCCCTGCTATCCCATGCACAGCGATGCAGGGCCTGACAGAATTCCTCATCTCTCTGTACTGATGAGCGAAGGAAGAGACTGCAGTATATTACTGGCATGCCTAAGGAACACAGAACCTGTGTACGTGAAGTGAAGCTGCTCCAGATGTGTCCAGGCTGGAAGAATGGCCATTTTTGCACCATCCCCTATCTCATGGTCGGTCAGGTTTATGAATGCTGGTGTCAGTATTCAGTGACAGCTGGCTCTGATCGTT